TCACCCTCCCACACACCCTAGTCCAGCCTGGAATCCCCTCTTGCACCCCAAACCCCTCATCCCAGGCCCCACCCCAGAGCCCATCCCCCAGCCAGAGCCCTCACCCCCCTGCACTCCAATCCCCTGCCCCAGCCCGCAGCCCCCTGCTCACCTCGAACCCCCCACCCCCACCCCAGAGCTTGCAACCCCAGCCCAGAGCCCTCATCCCCTCCCGCACCTCAACCCTCTGCCCCAGCCCAGTGAAAGTGAGTGAGGGTGGGGAAGAGTGAGCGGTGGAAGGAGGGGGATGGAGCAAGCAGGAGGCGGGGCCTCAGAGAAGGGACGGGGCATGGGCAGGGCCTCTGAGAAGGGGCGGGGCAGCGATGTTCGGTTTTGCGTGATTGGAAAGTTGGCAACCCTAGATGGAGCCAGGCAGCAACGGGACAGAACCCGAGATGCAAACACTCTTAGCCTAGTTGGATCAGGAGAGCCATAGGACAGGATACTCTTCACCTTGCAGGGTGGGAATCAGACCGAGGCGCATCTCCTGGCTCCGATTTGCCATCACGCTTCAGGGTTGTAGATACCCAGGGTGCCAACCGCCCCGTTTTATAGCCATTCGGCTCCAAACTCTGTGGCTGCCTTTCCCCAGCCCAGCCGCTGCTGAGTCCGGATCCAGCTGTGTACTCTGCCGCCCGGGCCAGTGGCCAGACAAAGCCTGGGGCTGTTACGGCTCTTGGCTGAGTGCAGCCCCGGACCCCGTTGGCAGGGGCGGCTGCCAAGTGGCAAAGTGAAAGCCAGCCCCGCCCCCTCCCCTGGTCTCCCCGGGCTGACAGCTGGAGAATGTCAGTCAGCAAGTACTCTCCCAGGCAGGATGATTAACTCCCACTCCTAATTGGAACCATGCGCCCGGAGCAATGTAGAGGGGCAGGCAGGGGCAGGGCGTGGCTGGTCACTCTGCAGGGGCGAGGGCCAGCTTCCAGAATACAGAGCTTACGGGGGCTCCCACCATCCCTGGATCTCACTGTGTTGGAGGTTAGCCGTATCCTATGGGCAAAAGCAGCCCATCACCTACCTCCGCACAAGGGACGGGCTGGGGGGGTCAGGGGTCAGAAATAGCAGCAAACCCCCTAGGGCTGGCATAGCCCATCTGCACAGACTCCGTGCTGAGACGGGTGGCTTGGAGTTGATGGCGGACAAACAAACCGGCCAGTTCTGCAGGGACCAGTCATTATTCTTTCTTTAACCATCAACTCCTGCGTTGCGGGAGACAAATATTAGCTACTAACGAGTAGCTGGTGAGCTAGATACCGGAGATGGAGGAATGGATAGAGCAGCCTGTACTTGCAAAGATGGGCATGTTTCCAGGCTTTTCCTTCCACCTTAGAGCATGAAAACGGGGTCATAATAACCAGAGATGGCCTCAAGCTGCCAAATCTCCATCGGGCTCCAAATACTTCCAAGTTTTGGGTATGTGTGTGGGGGGTTGCATGGATTTCAATTACAACAGAGCTCCTATTTTGCAAACCCGTTGGGGCTTGAGGAATTCACAACATCGGCAGCTCATAAAGCTGAACATCTCCGATCACGGTGGGCCGAGCGTATACCCTGCACACAGCATCGCTCTCTTCTTGGTCCTCAACCCGCGGCCAAGCCATATCAAGGCACCGACGGCATCGGGATGCGAAGGGATGTCAGCTTGTCCTGCATCGACGTCACTTTCGTTGCGTGGCTTTTTCTTTTCCGTCTGGAAACGTGACCGTCGAACTGGTCGTCCGTAGGACGGGGGCTCCTAAAATTGCAGTTTTACTGTCACAGATTTTAAGACCAGAAGTCGCCATTCGATCATCTAATCTGACCGTCAGTATCGCACAGGCCAGAGAGGTTCCTCCAGGTACCCTGCATTGAGACTAAAAACTAAAGCTTCTTCCAGAAAGACATTCAGTCTGGATCTGAAGACTCCAAAAGATGGAGAACCCCCCACGTCCCTTAGTAGTTTGTTCCTAGGGGCAGCGGGGATTGTAGGCTGGGGCAGCTAAGCCTCTCCAAACAGGCAGGCGTGGCCTTGCCAACGCTCTGCCTCGAGGCCCCGCTTCTGTGGCCCACTCTTCCCCTGGGACCCTGCCCACGCTGCTCCTCTTCCCACCCTCACTCAGTCTCTCCCACAAAGCCCGTGGGGACTGGGGCTGGGGCTAGGGCCAGTGGGTTGGCAGCCTGCGGCTCGGGCTGGCCAGAGCAGCTGGGGCAGGCCCGCCGGGGCAGGCTGGGGCAGCTGGCAGGCCGGGACTTGGGGCAGCTGGGGCGGGGGTCCTCCATCCACCATGGGGAGCTCAGGGCTCCGGTGGGGGAAGGGGCAGGGTAGGGGTGTGGCTCAGTCAGAAGAGGCGGGAGCTAGCCTCCCCGAATGGGGGTTTCATGTGCCACCCATGTTTGTTCCAATGGTTAATCACCCGCACTGTTAAAAAACGATGCCTTATTTCTGATTTGAATCCGTCTGGCTTTACCGTCCAGCCATTGGTTCTTGTTCTGCTTTCCTCTGCGAGAGTCAAGAGCCCTTTAATACCTGGTCATTTCCCCCAAAGAAGGTCCTTATAGACTAGAATCAAGTCACCCCTCAGTCTTCTTTTTTATAAACTAAGCAGGTTGATCAATTGAAATCACCCACTCTAAGGCATTTTCTCCAGCCTTTGCATCGTTTCTCTGGCTCTTTTCTGCACCCTCTGCAACTTTCAACCCCCCTTTCCCAATGTGGACACCAGAACTGGAGGCAGTATTCCACTATCAGTCTCCACAATGACATGTGCGGAGGTAAAATCACCTCCCTGCTCCTACTGCCCACTCCCTCATGTATCCATCCAAGGATTGCATTAGCCCTTTGGGATTCAATATTCCCCTGGAAGCTCCCATTGATTTGTTTGTCCACTCTGACCCGGACTCCCTCTCAGAGTCACTGTGGTGCAGAATACAGTCCCCCATGCTGGAGGGGTAGCCTGCATCCTTTATTTCTAGATCTATGACCTTGCATTTGGCTATATTAAAACACATTTTGTTTGCACGAGTTTAGGTTACCAAATGATCCACGTGTACGTCTGCCCTGTCCTCATCGTTAATTACCACTCCTCTGATCTTTGCGTCACCTGCAAATTTTATCAGCAGTGACTTTCTACTTACTTCCAGGTCATTGATAAAAATGTTGAACAACATTGGGCCTAGCACCAATCTCTGTGGAACCCTACAAGAAACACCCCCATTTGATGATGTTTCCTCATTGGACAATTACTTTTTGACATCTGTCAGTTAGCCGGATGTTAATCTATTTACACTTGTGCTTGCTGATGTTGTATAGTGCTCATTTTTTAATTAGAATGTTGTGTGGTACTAAGTGAAATACCTTACAAAAGCCTAGGTATATTACATCTGAACAAAAAGAACAGGAGGACTTGTGGCACCTTGGAGACTAACCAATGTATTAGAGCATAAGCTTTCGTGAGCGACAGCCCACTTCATCGGATACAGACTAACACAGCTGCTACTCTGAAACCTCTCAAAATACATCTGAGCAGTTATCTTTATCAACAAAACTTATCTTATCAAAAATGAGATCGCGTTTGTTTGACAGGACCTATGTTCCCGAAAGCCATTTTGACTGGCATTCATTGTATTGCCATCCTTTAATTTTTATTGATTGAATCCAGTATCAACTGTTCATTATTTTGTCTGGGATTGATGTCAGGCTAACTGGCCTATAATTGCCTGAGTCATCCCACTCGTCCTTTTTGAATATTGGCACCACATTCGCACTTTTCCGGGTGTGCGGAATTGCCCCAGTATTCCAAGATTTATTTAAAATGAACAGAAATGGGTCAGAGATCGCCTCCGCCCACCCTTATAGGACTCTTGGGTGCAAGTTAGCTGGGCCTGCTGATTTTTAAACATTCATCCATAGTAGATGCTCTTTAACATCCTCCTTAGTTACTAATGGACTGGAAAGTACTTCATCCTAATATAATAGGAGTACACCATCCTGCTTCTTGCTAAATAGAGAATGGAAATATTTATTGAACCCATCTGCCTCTTCTGTGTCAGTATTAACAATTTTACCATTCCCATCTAGCAATGGGGTTGTACCATTGCTAGAATTCATTTTTTGCCTGATATGCTTTAAAAAAAACTTTCTTATTGTCCTTAGCCCTGCCTCCCATGGATTTTTTCCTGTTGTCTTTAGCTTCCCTTATCAATTTTATACACTTTGTATCCTTTAATTTATATAATAATTACTATCTACTTCCCCTTTTTTCCATTTGTTATTATTTCTAATTGCTGTCTTAACTTCCCCTCTTAATCAAGTTTGGCTTTTACCCAAAGTTATGGGATCATGGCTTTTTGGCAATCTAGTAAACTCTTCTTAAATGACTCCTGGATTTCATCTGTCTGAATTTTTCCTCCCAATCAATTTCACTGGTCCCATTGGCATTAGAACCCAGGCCCTGCTTTAATTCAGTCTGGAACCTGCCCGCTTTGCAGCACAAATGCAGCCAAAAATCACTGGAGTGCCGATAGTCCTCAATTGCCTTCCCACAGTTCCCCCCAAAGGAGAGACAAGTTCTTCTGGGAAAGAATCTTTGAGCGTCTGAGCACAAAGAATTGTGGGATATGCCCCCAAACACACACAGGCAAGCGCAGAAATGGTGAGGGCACAGTAACGTGGGTAGGATTTCGTAGCGCGCATGCGCGTGCCCAGGTGAGGTGCCCAGACCCGGTGCCAATCACCTGGGCTCACTGTGCCGTGAAGACTGACCCGGAATGCGGTCGGGGCACTGACAGGGGATGGAGAGCCACGGTGAGCAAGCGCATTCCCAGGGCCATTGTTCTCCCCAGGGCGGGTGGGGAGGCGGGGAGACAGAGCAATAAACGATGTCACGTCAGAGTCACTGGCAGCGCCTGATGCCTTCGCCACGGTGCCGGCGGTTCACAGGACTGGATCCAGTGCTGTTCTAATCGTTATTCTGTTTGTTTGCCAGGTACAAACGGCGAGAGCTCTCAGACGCCATCCCCACCCCGTTCCCCAGGGATGCCCAACGAGAGCTGCAGCATCGCGCCACTCACGCCCTCCCAGTCCCCGGTAAGCCACAGAACCACCCCCACCCCCCCCCCACCTCCCGCCGGGTCATCTGGGGTGCAGCTCCCTGAGAGCAGCCATCGAATTGTTCTTTGCTCCACCCCTTCTCTGGCTCTGTTCTGCCACCATCCACGGCCTCCTTGAATTGGTCCAGCTACCAAACTACTGGCTGTAGGGCATGGTCTGGTCAGCCCCACTGCACACTGCAGGCCAGTTCTGCGATGAAGTGGCCAGACAAGAAGTGGCGTATGCGGGCCCAGTGTCAGAGGATGGGCGGGAGGTCGTGACATCTCCTGAGCCTGGCAAAGATCCTGGAGGTGTGGGGCAGGGAGAGGGGTGCACAGCAAGGCCCTTTCAGTATCTCCCCATAGGTGCCTACCAGCAAACACTGACTGCTTTGACAGAGGAGATCAGACACCTGATACAAGGGCTACCAATCCTCATCCTCAGGGCATAACGTGGCCATTAGCTGGCGTCAGGAAGGACCTGTGCCTGCCCAGGGCAGTCTGGCACAGTCGCCTGCATTGGGGGTCTCTCATACCTTCCTCTGAAGGCCTGGCAATGGCTCTTGTTGGAGACAGAATACTGTACAAGATGGTCTTTTTGTCGGGGTGCAGCAGTCAGGCAAATGCTAAATTGTTTATGAAGCTTCAATGGCAACATAAAGACATCAACAATATCTTCCGTTATTCAATGGGAGAAAGGCTCAGTTGCAGTAGGGTGTCCCGCAGGGGAGAGACGTCTTTACGTATCTGAGGTCACTGAAGATGAGTTTGACCAACAAAGTTCACATCTGGGTCCAAACTCTTCCAAAGGGTTCAGTTTTAGGGGGTTTGGTTCAGGCTCTCCTCTGATAATTACCCCGTAATTACGTACTGTGGGATTTCTTGCACTTTCCTCTGAAGCAGCTGGCACTGGCCAGTGCTCACAAGGTCCAGGATTAGATGGACCCTGTGCTGATCCAGTCTGGCTGCTCCTAATGATCCTTGTGGTGTTTCAGAGGAACGAAGCCCGGGCACAGCGACCCACTTCCTTCTCCGTGGTAGTGGCCATTGACTTTGGCACGACCTCCAGCGGCTATGCCTTCAGCTTCTCCAACGACCCCGAGGCCATTCACATGATGAGGTAACTTGTCCCTCTGCGGGATGATGGCTTGGGGGCTACTGTGGGCGCACATCCGGCCTTTCTCTGCATCCACTGTCTTTTAACAGGGGCACCAAAGCAGCTAGGGAACAGGACATGCTCTTAGTCTGTCCACCCTGTTAACCCTGTCCTGTTGGATGGTTTCCCCTTCTCCCTATCACTGAATCATCCCTCCCGCAGACCCAGTGCTGAGCATCCTCCCCCAGCATCCCGAGGACCGGAGAGAAGCTGGGACCAGGATGGGGATAACTGGGAATAATGGGACAATATTAAGCAAAGGAAAATACCTACTAGATGAGGTGTGTGTAAGGCTGGGATCAGTACCAGGGTGTGAGTCAGCGCCCTGCAGAATAAACTTTAGGGATCAATCCTGCACTGGCCACGGAGGATGGTCCCTTGTGTGCCTTTTTCGTCTCGATGGGTGGAATCGTCTCTTGCTTTCTGCATATTTTATTGAGGAGCCAAGCAGCATGGTTAGCTTGTCCTAGGCTGCAAGTGTCCTGCCAGGACAGATTCACGATCAGGGCTCTAACGTGGTGGTGCTTTCAGTCCCATCTTCATTCTATGTTAGACCCTTATCTGGCCCTCACCGCAGTATCTGGGCACCTCCAGCCCCACTGTGAGGCAGGGTAATGCTGTCATCCCTGGCGTACGGCTGGAGTCTCAGAGACTTGTCCCAGGTCTCATAAGAAACCTATTGCAAAGCAGAGAGGTCTCCTGATCCCAGGTTAGGGCCCCAACCACCAGGCAAACCTTCCTCTGTCTGCTTCCAACCCCCTGCCAATATTAGAGACCGAAAGCCACTAGCTCTGAACTTCGCTGGAGTCCCAGAGGCTCTGGAAGCTGGACCCTAATTTAATAATGAGCCCTAATGGGCTAAACCCAACAACCCCTGACTCTGGGGTGTCCGACACCCAGATCCAAGGCCCCACGTTATGGCTTGGGCCTCTCTCTAGCCGATACGCCATTTCCTCCTCTCTCTGCTGGGTTTTGCCATCTTCTGAGCTCCAGGAGGGTGGAGGCCGAGGTCAGGAAGGTGCACGTTGGGCCTGAGGAGTTGGGGATGCTGTAAAATGAGAGTTCGAGGCTGCAGTATTGAGGGTGGGGGGATGCAGTCACTGCACGAGAACTCAGTACTTCTGTTTGTGAACTGAACCAGAGCAGGTTAGCCCCAGTGTAGCTAGTCACCAGGCCCTGCTATGATGGGCTCCCCCGCACAGAGTAATTTATTTACTCAGGACAACTCAATTAAGACCCGGCGTCTGGTTCACAATCAGGCTTCTTGTACTCCCCCACCCAGCCATCCCTGGATGTCCTCTGCCCATGTATTTATCAATACCTCCTTCAGCTAGTTGCCAAAAGCAATCAACAGGCCTTTGGCCAAGACAATGCTGCTACACAGAGACACCACTTTATCTATCCACTTGCATGGCCCTCACCGCTGTAGGGTTGACTAGATGGGGAAACCGAGGCACAGAGACATTAAGTGACTTGTCCAAGTTCACGAAGAGGGTCTGTGACAGAACTGGGACCCAGATCTCTAAAGTCACGGTACAGTGCTTCAACCACAAGGCCATCCTTCCTTTGGGAGCTAGATCCTAGCTCAGGTTTCTAAGCAATTAGGACCTCTTGCTTTGAACGATCCAAGAAGTCCTGACAGCAGCAGCAGAAGCCCTTGACCCCCAGAGAGGCAGATGGTGTGTGAGGTCCCTTCAGTTGTGGAGTAGCGAGAGGGGTGGACAAATAGGGGACTTTTCCGCGTCTCACCAGAGGTGCCTATCCCCAAACAGTGACTGCTTTGACAGAGCTGGTCAGGCCCCTGGTCTGAGGGCAGCCAACCTGCAGATATGCACAAGGGACATACTTTGACAATGAGCCAGGCCTGGAGGTTGGTCAGATAGATTCACCTGGGACCATGGGGCCACCCGTGGCAGAGGACAGGACCACCGGAAGCCAGAAGCGTCGGCTCCTTGTTTAGGAGGAGTTTTACAAGGCCTATTATCATTGTTAATTGAAGCCAGAGAGCAGATGAGCTTGGCTGGGGAGGGCGGCCCTGAGGGACACCCCCGGAGAGCGGGAGTTGCTGAGGGAGCCGTCTTGGAGGCAGGACAGGAGCCGCTCCACCACAAAATCCTGAGGGGAGGGAGTCCCAGAGACCGGCTTGGTGGAGGGAACTGAAGGCAATAGCCAGACAGAGACGAGGCCCTCGGGCTGGGCCATTAGTGAGGACAAGCTGGGTGCCGTGAGTGGAAGCCAGAGGATTTGGAGGCGAGGAAGCAGAGGCATGAGGCTCTGGGGGCACGGAGGAGGGGAAGAGGGGTACGGTGGATGCAGACCCAGGGCAGGGAGACAGTTGGGTGCTGGAAGGCTGAGGGAAAGGAGCTGGAGGGGACGTCTACAATGTGACCCAGGCTCCAAGCCTCGGTGCTGCGGGTTTTTTATTGTGGCGTAGACATACCCAGAGAGATTGTAAGGGGAGCGGCAGGAGATGGCATGCGAACATGTGGGCAGGGCGGAAGAGGCTAACAGAGGGGCAGTCAGCCTGGCAGAGGCTGGAGGAGGGGGCTGGGGTGGGAGAAGGCTCCCTCCAGCCCTCTGCATGGGTGGGAAGACAGCCACTTGGCCGGAGCGCCGGGCTGGTGCCCCAGGGACTAGCAAGTAATAAATAAACTGAATGGTGCATTTGAAGACTCGTACCCCTGCCCCTAACCCTTCCTGTCCATGGCTCGCAGCCCCGTTAGCTCCAGACAGGGAGGGGGCCGGGCTGCTATGGCTGCAGAGATTCCATTCATTGAGGGCTGACCTCGGAGCGTGGGGTTACTGCTCATTCCCTCCCTCCAGCCGGCTGGTAGTTCACCCAGCAGCTCCCCTCGTCAGGGACCATGAGCAACCCAGCCATCTCCCACCCTGCCACCTTCTTCCCTCTGGCCACAAGCTGGACCCCGCTGGCTCTCTCGCTGGGTAATTACTAAGGAACTTTTTCAAATCAGTAGGGTTCTGACTGGGCTCGGTGGCACCCCAAATATGACAGAGAACTTTGCTCACAATTATTGAGCCGAGCAGTCGAAAAGTGCTAACGGGGGTCATTTAAGTAGGGCCTAGTAATTTGAGCAAAGGTGCCTGGGTTCTAATCCTGGTCCCGGCTGGTTGAAGACCCCGACTTAGCCAGACGGTGGCTTTTGTGTATCCATAGATAATACAGAATACTGTTGGTGAAGGAGGCCATGTTGATAGTCTCTATGTCCTCTTGCGATCCCCAGGACAGGCCGTGATAAGGCAAGATTCCCCCATGCTGCCCTGTCCTAACACATCCAGTTCATTCCGTCTTTGGCCTGTTCTGCTGAGACTACCAGCCAGGTGCCCAATTAGTGCCAGATTTGTGATGGGGGCATCTGTCCCGACCAAAACCCAAGGAGGAGTCTCTGACTGATTTGGGACACGGGCCACTGAACAGCTGTCAGGCAGCCCTGGCTTTTGGCCCTCTTCCAACCTGGGCCAGAATTGAACCATTCCCTGTTCCCAATTGTAACGAACATATGCTCCTTGTCATCACTGTCAGGGCCCTTTTTGACCTATCCCCACCCACCCGTCATCTCTCCTTCGCTCTCGAGCTGTCGAGGCTTGCCTCCGACCGGCCCATGGTGCCAGCCTCCATCACCTACTTGTTAAATTCTTAAACACGCCCCTTTCTGTGTTCTCCCTGGCTGCCCCTCATGCTTGGGAGGAACTCCCCATCAACTTCCACAAAGCTACCTCAAATCCCCCATCCAAACTCTCCTTTGCCGTGAGGCCCACAAAACAGTTAAGCTGGCCAATATTGTCCCATAGTTTCCTCACACTCCCCTGTTGTCTCTTGTCATATATATAGATTGTAAGTTCTTTGGGGCAGGGACTAGAGGTCAAGTGTGGAGGTGACATGCAGGGTCACGTGCCCCCCTCCCCCCCCCATTTCTGCCAGGGTTTGCCAGCTGGGCTGTGCAGCAGCTCCTGGATCTGGCGAGGTGCAAGCCGCAGCCGTGAGAAGATGCAGCAGCAAACAGCTGGGAGCTGCAGGAAAGGGCCACTGAGGGCAAGGGGGGGCTGCTTGGGGGGGGGCATGACTCAAGCTGTTCAGGGGAGGTGAATCTTTAAATTGTGCTTCCCCCTTCCCGCCCTGCCCCCCCACTATCAGCAGGTAGCAGTTGTCTTTGGCAGGGATTGTCTTTTGTTCCGTATTTGTACAGTGCCTAGCACAGTGGGATCCTGGTCCAAGCCTAGTAATACCGTGGTAATATGAATAACTAATCATAATAGAGAACCTCTGTACCCTATTACCAACCAATCCCACCTTGAGCCTCTGGCTGGGTTTTCTAGCCACTCCCACCAGGCGTTCAGAGGAAGTCTTAGCTATTATAAATGGTGCCTGTCACCTTTAAGAGGTGGGACATTAAATCTGATCTGGTTCCTCATTGCAGGAAATGGGAGGGAGGTGATCCTGGAGTGGCCAATCAGAAAACCCCCACCAGCCTCTTGCTGACCCCAGAGGGCGCCTTTCACAGTTTCGGATACACAGCAAGGGATTATTACCACGATCTCGATCCGGAGGAAGCCCGGGATTGGCTCTACTTTGAGAAGTTTAAGATGAAGATTCACAGCACGAGTGTAAGTTAACCCTTTCTGTCCAGTCACCCTGAACACAGGGGAGGGGCTGGGGGCCAATGAGATGGGGTGGGGTGGGCTAACTCACTTTCACTTTAAAAAATATTCCCGTATTAAAGTAAAAATGTATGTATTGCAGTAATATTGTCAATATTTTTCCTTTTTTCCCAGTGTGAAATTTCACAGATTTGTTTAAAATTAAATTTCACAAATTTGCTGTCCTTCTGGGGGGCTGTGGATTTGCAGAGTTGTTTAGCAAATTCTGTAACCAATTTATTATGCAAAGGGCAGGGAAGGGTGATTTAAATAACCCCCTAAGGCTAAGGTTGGTTGAAAAACAAGGGGGCGAGGAGAGGGAGTGTTTTCAAACTTCTCTGTTGGCTGTAATTTTTTTCATTAAAATTCAAAATGTCAAAATTCAGTAACAAATTCACCCAGCTCTCTAGATTGTATAATAATAATAATAATAAAAAAATTATGGGGAAGTGGAGAATTCAACAAAATGTCATGATTTTTTGGTCCTACTTTTATAATTGAACAAATGTTGACTGATTCCAGTGGGGGCTGTTGACAGGAGTATGTGCCCCACTTCCCTCTACTGGGTGAGAGCAGAACTGATCAAGTCTATGTCATAGACCCTCTGTAGCTCTTGGATCCCCCTTTAGCTAAAGTACTAGGGACCTGTGGGTTTTGGAGCAGGAGGAGCTAGGTTCTAGCCCCCACAACTGTAGATTTATCACTCTGCAGGGGAGGGCAGATCTCAACCTGCTATTTCCCATGATGCCGAATTCGAACACTTCTGAGTGCAGTGATGTGGCATCACGGAATTTTTTTGCACCAACTCCCGTAGCACGTCCAATGGGTGGAGCTCCCTCCCTACTCATTCCTGCCTGCACTCCCCAGCCTTTCCCCCCACCCTCACCTCCACATCGGGAGGTAATTCCATGTAGCTCTTCCCCCTCATCCTTGCAGAAGAAGGACCAGTGGGTTGGGCACCTCGGCACCTTCCAGGTAATGGCTGTTTGGTTTCCTCTCTGCTGATTGGGTGGGCTCGCCATTCCACCCACTCCAGCTCCGAGCGGACGAAGAAGGTAGCCGCATGGCCGAACACTGCGCTCGATCCTGCTCTTGCTGAGGTCGATTGGGAGGCCTAAGTGACTGCCCCCCCAGAGGATGAGAACTTCTAGCAACAGCTCTTGGGCTCACAGCACCCAGCTCCTTGTCAGCGCTCCAGGTGCTGGATTTGGCACAGTCCCTCTGTCACCGTTCAGGGCAACTGCACCTGCATTTCCCCTCTGTTGCCTCGATAAGGCGTCGGACCCCCCAGCCATCACCTCTCTTGGGCGGAGACCCGCATCTCTCTCCCTCCTGCCCGGGGTGTTTCCAGGCTGCACAGTTCCCTGCCTCCACTGTGCTGTTCTCACACGCCTAACCAGGCCAGTGTCTGCGCTTCGCTATCTCTCCACAGGCTACAGACCGTGACATTGCCCACAGCTAGATGTTACCACCCAGCTCTTTCTGAGCAAGCACATTGATTCTGACGGTAACAGCGTCACAGAGAAACCATACGAAACACAATAAAAGCCCTGATGCACATGCGAACAAGCTTCCTACTGATCACCCCGCCTCCAGCAAGCACTGTCGCAGGAGTCAGCCCTTCAGGCCCCACCAAGGGGTTTTTCTGTGGGTACAAGTTCATAACAGCCTCCATCCACAACAAGCAGCCCCACGCATAGGTTAGTCTTTCCTTTATCCAGCCTGGGCCATTGTTCTTCAGAGTCAGGGAACAGATAATCCATAAACATTAGTCCCTTCCTCAGCTTCAAAAGGCTGGGGTTTGCATAACAGGGGCAGGGAGGAATTTGCATTCACACCGTGCCCCCCGATGTTTTCCAGGAAATGCGCTTCACGTACATTATCCCAGAAGACCATTCATGTCTGCCACATGGTTCAGTACAGCCCTTTGATCGCCCAGGCCCACAGTAACACAGATCCTTCACATTTAATGCAATGGCCTCCGAGGATACTTCACTTCATTCAATAATGTTTTTCAAGGACATTGCTGGAAATTTCCACATCTGTCACACCCTCCACTGGAGAAACCAGTGCACTCCTCCCTGCTCTGTGCCGGGCATGCTCCGAGGGGCAGGCCAGGGCTCAGGCCGTGACCATCTCGGGCTGTTTGTCTTGCTTTGCTAGGACCTCACCATGAAAACCGAATTAGAAGCCGTGAACGGGAAGAAGGTCCAGGCGCTGGAGGTGTTTGCACACGCCCTTCGCTTCTTCAAGCAGCACGCCGTGCAGGTAGTCCAGCTCCCCGGGGTGGGGCGGGGGAAGGCCTGGGAGTCAGCTGCAAATACTGGGGAATTTCCCAGTGGAATCCCTGCCAGTTGGGGATAAACCAGGGAAACCATGGGCCAGGGAAACCACCCTCCTGTGGATTTGGCTGCAAGCACCGAGGGGCTGGCAGAACTTTGTCCTGGGACTAGCTAGCTCAGAAGGGGGTCTGGTTTTCCCTCTGTTGTGTGAACTTAGTATGGGTGAAAGGCGCCAGCTCACAGAGGAGATGCAACAGAGGCAATGTCAGGGCAAGCATCCCGTACCCAACACAGCCTTTACCCTGAGCTCCAGAACTCAGCAGGGAGTTCTTTCCATGACCCATTCATTCCATTAGCCTCCCTGTCTGACTAGGAATGCTGCTGTCCGGGGCCAATAACTCACCTGTCTCTCAATAATGCATCCATCCAGTGGCACAATGGCATCCGGGGGGTATTCCTTCCTGACCCGCCCATAGGCCATTATTGTATGTCCTGAAGCATGGGGTTTGACTATCAGTTTCTGCTTCTTTTACAACAGGAGCTCAAGGACCAGTGTCCATCTTTGCAAGAGAAAGAGGCCATCCGCTGGGTGATTACAGTGCCTGCCATCTGGAAACAGCCAGCCAAGCAGTTCATGAGGGAAGCAGCATACAAGGTCAGGTGTCTCGTGTTGGTTCCCTTCTTGGCTTTGTGGGGTTTTCCAAGGATTTGTAGGATCATTGTAGCCAGAGATTTATTAGGTCCCATCTTTCCCGTCCCCCACTCCTGGGCCAGGGCAGGTGTTACTTTGCAATGTCCAATCTCCTCTAACCTGTCTGGGTATTTTTAAAGTTTATGTTCTCCAGAGTGCTGTTCGCGTTGGTTTTGAATGACCCAAGTGGCAGGGGACTAAAGCCATAAGTAGTGTACAGTCCATTCTCCAAGCCTTTGTCCAACCCAGCTCAAATTAATGGAGTTACTCCTTTACTTGAAGAAGGAGCGGCTGGTGCTTGTAGTGCTGAAGATTCCGGGGTCAAACCCTCCTGATGGCCCACGTGGGGGCAGGTTGCAAAAGTAGCACCTGGAGTGGAATTTGAACGCCTGCTCTCAGATGCTTGGGACGAGCTGCGTCTCATGCTAGCAGAGTAGAGTCTTTGATGCCTCTAGCATCTAGGGGATAACAGTCTACTATAGCTGCCAGCTAGGGGAGTTACTGCTTTACCTCAAGCAGTGGTGTTCATGCTTTTAGTGGTGTAGCCCCCGAGTTCAACAGTCGCTGTCGAGCCAGGCAGGATTGTTACCCTTGCCCTGTCCACACGCTTGTAGGCTATTATCATATTCCCCCCATTAGTCATCACTCAGCCCAGCGAGACAGTTACAATCTGTCCTTCTCCGCCAATCCTTGGTAGCGTTTGTCACTTCTTTCTGAACCCCCGTGTCTCTAGAGCTGCCCAGGACTGATGGCCGTAACCCAGCTGTGACTACATGCCCTCATACCGGCTGGGGGATGGACTGCATGCCCTAATTCAGTCTGTGTTCTCCATACCCTTGGAGTGCTGATCCTGGGCCAGCTGTAGGGACAGGCGGACAGGGTGGTTGCCTTGGGCGCCACTTGTCAGAGGTGCCACATTGCTCAGCTGGGTTGTTGGTTTTATTCTCATCTGCTTGGGGGCACCAAAAACATTTTCTGCCGTGGGCAGCAAAACACCTAGGGCTGGCCCTAGACTGATCCAGGAGTGCTTTTCAGGGACCCCGCCTGCTGGTGAACACATGGGCATTTCTGCTGGAACTGGGCGAAAACACCATGCCCTGGGCGTCCCTAACCTCTGCTTGCCAGAAGCTGGGAGTGGACGACAGGAGATGAATCACTCGATAATTGCGCTGTTCTGTTCATTCCCTCTTACGCTCTTGCCACTGACCATTGTCGGAAGACAGGATACTGGGCTAGATGGACCTTTGGTCTGACCCAGTGTAGCCGTTCTTATGTTATGTAAAACTAGAACAGGCATCCCATTAACCCAGTGGCTCTCAAACTTTGGTGCTGGTGACTCCTTTCACACAGCAAGCCTCTGAGTGCAACCCCCCTTATAAATTAAAAACATATTTTAATATATTTAACACCATTATAAATGCTGGAGGCAAAGGCGGGTTTGGGGTGGAGGCTGACAGCTGGCGACCCCCCATGTAATAACCTTGCAACCCGCTGAGGGGTCCCGACCCCCAGTTTGAGAACCCTTGCATTAACCACTCCCCTCCCAGCAATTGATCCCTCACTGAGAACCCGTCATTGAGTAAATCAGATCTGATAGTTTGGTTCTGCTGGCTCTTTGGTCACCTTGCAGGCTGATCTATAGGCTCTCCGCAGGGCTCATGCAGCCACTTCTGGGGTGGAACGTAGCAACGCACTGCAGTGCTGCACGACAGTTTAGTCCAGTGGATGAAGGACGCTGGTCGAAACTGTCGGAGTAATCTAGGGAGGCAGAATGGGCTAGGGCCAGGGACTAACAACCCTGTTTTGTTGGTCTCTTTAAGGACCTCCAGTGACCAAGACTTTGATTCCCCGGCTCTTCCGAAAGAGAGCCCAGGGTCCTCTAGCATGGTGCTGGAACATTCGTTTGGTACAGACCCGCAAAGCCAGGGCTAGCACTTCCCAGGGCCATTCCAGCACATCCTTGTGCGTTTCCTTCCCCCGCAGGAGATAATGTCCTTTCAGGGGCTTGTGGAGGATTTGATTCTGGGGCCCACCGAGCTGCTTGTGGTGTGCTCCAAGCTGCTGCTTCAGCTGACCACGTCTTGGCTCCCGGCGAGCAGATGAGAACATGGGTCCCCTCCCCGGCAGATCGGTTCTGCCCCCCCCGCCCCGCTGTATTGTTTCACAGCCACATCAACAGAGGACGTGAAGGGTGGAGGGGAGATCTGCTCGCAGAGAGAGCAAGGGGGGAAGGGGAGGGGAAAGGAGGGGGAGCTGCGGGAAGGAGAGGGCGACAGACTGCAGGTGATTAGGGGTTGGGCGTCTCTCGGGTTTATTAGCTGGCTCCAGCAGGGTATAATTGAGGCTGGATAAAGCAGCGTTGGACTCCGCCAGGCTGGCATCCAGGATGCAGCGGGGTCAGGAGGAACGACGCCTGCTCTCAGAGAGGAGACGGGGCCATGGCAGTGGTTTGCCTGGCTTGGCAGCTCTGGGCTCCTCTTTGTCCCACACGGGGAAGGGCAGGAACACAAACCTGACTGCTGGGTACAGTGTCTGACAGGAGTCAGACCCCAGGATCTGCCCCATGGCACTGCCCCTGCTGCTCGTCATGGGATCCTCCCCACGACAATCCCTAGCAGCCCATCCCTGGGGCCTGCCCCACGGCTCTTCCCCCACCACTCGTCATGGGACCTGGCCCACAGCACCTCCCCAGCAACCCATCCGTGGGGCCAGCCCCACAGCACTCCTCCAGCGGCTGGTCATGGGACCTGCTCCATGGCACTGCCCCTGCTGCTCGTCATGGGACCTGCCCCATGGCAAAATCCTAGCAGCCCATCCCTGACCCACGGCTCTCGTCATGGGACCTGGCCCACAGCACCTCCCTAGCAGCCCATCCCTGGGACTTGCCCCATGGCACACCTCCAGCGGCTGGTCATGGGGCCTGCCCCACGGCAATCCCTAGCAGCCCATCAAAGGGGCCTGCCTCATGGCACTCCCCCAGTGGCCGGTCATGGGACCTGTCCCACAGCCATCCCCACAGCACTCCCCTACCAGCCCATCCTTGGGGCCTGTCCCACAGCACTCCCCCAGCAGCTGGTCATGGGACCTGCCCCACAGCAATCCCCCAGCAGTCCATCCAAGGGGCCTGCCCCACGGCAAGCCCCCAGCAGTCCATCCAAGGGGCCTGCCCCACGGCAATCCCCCAGCAGTCCATCCAAGGGGCGTGCCTAACAGCACTTCCCAGCAGCTGGTCACAGGCCCACCCCCCTCTTCCCCCAGCAGCCTGTCCACAGGGCCGGTCGCGTGGCAACCCCCCCAGCCATTCCTGTAGCCCAGAATCCTGTCTCCTCAAGCAGCCAGTGGCCGGGGCTTCAAAAGAAGGTGCAAAACCCCAGAGTGCAATGAGTGCTGTAGCCCCTACACCCCGGGCCAGCCTGGGATGAGCCTGGGACCTTCAGCACTGAAGGGCTAGATAGGGCTAGAAGGGGTATAAAGCTTCCGGCTTCAGGGCTTCAGCCTGTGTCTAGGTATTAGGAGTTAGAATGAGACCCTCCTGGGGGCAGATTTCCCCACATCTCCCTGCTGTGGGGTTCTTGCTCCTTCCTCCGAAGCAGCTAGTGCTGCCCATAGGAGACAGGGAACTGGGCTAGATGGATCCTGGACTGATCTAGTCGAGTGATTTCCATGTTCTTTACAGCATGGGCCTCTACTGTTTGAGGTAAAGGGGTAACTCCATTAGCTGGTAGCAGCAGTGGGCTCTTATCCTCTTTGGCAGACCAGCTACTAGAGGGGAACATTTAACACACACGCTTAAACGGTGGGCTACACAATACTGTCCCGTGGGGAAGGTAACTCCTGGCTGCAGCTGCATCCATGAGGACTGGTAGGCCTTGGCTTGTTGTATTCTGAATAGCACCATTCTAGATGCAGATCTTATTCCTGTCAGTGGCTAATCCTTGTTTTTAGAAAATGTACCACCTTATTTGCTTTGCCCTCGAGCCTGTCCTGCAGCAGTGAGTTCCGCAGGTCAGTGATAGGATCTGAAACCCACAGTGAGATGGGAGACATTAGCTGCCCTGGGGCCCACAGGGGCAGGGAGGGAAAGGGGCACAACCCTGGGAAAGCAGGAGGGTTCTTTGATTCACAGCCTGAGTCCAGAAGCCTTCAGATCAGCTCAGTGATTCACCACCTGAGAGCACATGCTGATGCTGCAAGGCGGGGCCCTGCGGGGAGCCATGGATCCCCAGTGGGTCAGATAACCAAGCCAATCATCTCTGCCATCACATTGAGCTGGCAGCGTGACCTCCTTATGCAGCCTCTTTCCCTTTGCCTATCCTTGTAACCGCCTTTGTCCCTTGCCTTCCTACGCTCCACAGGCCGGCTTGGTTCCCCCCGCAAACCCGGAGCAGCTGTTGATTGCGCTGGAGCCGGAAGCAGCCTCCATCTATTGCAGGAAACTCCGCCTCAATCAGCTGATTGACTTGAGCTGCAAACCTCTAGCCAATGGCCTCACACCAGAGCTCTCCATCGACTCCAGCTTCAGGCAGGGTAAGCGACTGCTGTACTATGGACACCTTGTCTGGGGATCTGGGGACAGCTGAGCCGTGGGGTGGGCCACAATCGGAATTAGCTCGCTGGCCCCAGCCCGATCCCGACAGACTGTGTGTCTGCGTTGTACAATTCAGCACAACTGGCCATCTCTGCTCAAGAAAGTCCCCCGGGGGGAGACTAGCAGGGTGCTGCAGGTCCCGGCAGAGGGTGATGGCCAAATTGTGGGGGCTGCTCAGCATTGGCAGGGGCTGGTTCGGGACTCCTGGGCAGAACCAGTCTCTCTTTCTCAGAAAACATCCCTAGGCTTTCCCAGCCTGCAACTCTCCACTTAATATAGCCCCCTCAGCATCACCAGCCGTGCCGCTCTGTTCATCTCTTCTCTCAGTCCCGGCTCCCTGCTGCTTCTACGCTAGGACCAGTTGCAGATTGCCAAAACAAAACCCTTTCCCCATTCAAATCCTTGCTGAAGATTTCCTTCTACCACCAGGGAAGCCCTGGGTTCCCGCCACCCTGGGCTTTCCCAAGGCACTCCTCTTCTCTGTGCTCATCTGTTAGACTGCCAGCTCTTTCCACTGTCTCATTCTGTGGCTTGTGCAATGCCAGATACATCATAAATGATCTGGGGAAAGGGGTAAACAGTGAGGTGGCAAAATTTGCAGATACAAAACTACTCAAGATAGTTACGTCCCAGGCAGACTGCGAAGAGCTACAAAAGGATCTCTCAAAACTGGGTGACTGGGCAACAAAATGGTAGATGAAATTCAATGTTGATAAATGCAAAGTAATGCACATTGGAAAGCATAATCCCTACTGTACCTATAAAAAAATGGGGTCTAAATTAGCTGTTACTACTCAAGAAAGAAATCTTGGAGTCATTGACTTCAGTTCTCTGAAAAAATCCACTCAATGTGCAGCGGCAGTCAAAAAATAGAACACAATGTTGGGAATCATTAAGAAAGGGATAGATAATAGGACAGAAAATATCATCTTGCCTCTATATAAATCCATGGTACACCCACACCTTGAATACTGCATGCAGATCTGGTCGTCCCATCTCAAAAAAGATATATTGGAATTGGAAAAGGTTCAGAAATCGGCAACAAAAATTATTAGGGATATGGAACGGCTTCTGTATGAGGAGAGATTAATAAGACTGGGACTTTTCACCTTGGAAAAGAGACAACTAAGGGGAGATATGACTCAGGTCTATAAAGTCATGAATGGTGTGGAGAAAGTAAATAAGGAAGTGTTATTTACTTCTTCTCATAACACAAGAACTAGGGATCACCAAATGAAATTAATAGGCATCAGGTTTAAAACAAACAAAAGGAAGTGTTTCTTCACACAACACACAGTCAACCTGTGGAACTCTTTGCCAGAGGATGTTGTGAAGGCCAAGTCTATAACAGGGTTAAAAAGAACTAGATAAGTTCATGGAGGATAGGTCCATCAACGGCTATTAACCAGGATGGGCAGGGATAGTGTCTCTCGCCTCTTGTTTGCCAGAAGCTGGGAATGAGCGACATGGAAAGGATCACTTGATGATTACCTGTTATGTTCATTCCCTCTGAGGCACCTGGCATTGGCCACTGTCGGAAGACAGGAGACTAGGCTAGATGGATGTTTGGTCTGACCCAGTCTGGCTGTTCTCATCATACCACATGATGATGATGAAATTCTTTCCATTCTAACAGTAACCCAGGAAGAGTTTGAACAGCGGCTACTAAAGTTAGACATTTTTAAATCAGCTGGTCCAAATAACTTGCAACCAAGAATTTTAAAAGAGTTGGCCAAGGAGTTTGCTGGTCAGTTAATGCTGATTTTCAACAAGTCTTGAAACACTGGGGAATTTCCAAGGAACTGTAAGAAAGCTAATGTTGTGCCAGTATTTAAAAAGGGTGAACAAGACAACGCAGATATTTATAGGCCTGTCAGCCCGACATCAATTCCAGCCAAAAGGACAGAAGGGGTCATAAGGGACTTGATTAATAAAGAGTTAAAGGAGGGTAATGTAATTAATGTCAGTCAATATGGGTTTATGGAAAATAGATCCTGTCAGACTAACTTGATATCTTTTTGATGAGATTACCAGTTTGGTTGACACAGGTAACAGTGTTGGTGTAATAGACTTAGACCTTGTAAGATGTTTGACTTGGTACCACAGGACATTTTGATTAAGAGACTAGAATGATACAAAATCAACCTGCCATACATTATTTGGCTTAAAAACTGCCTAATTGATAGGTCTCAATGTGTAACTGTAAATAGGGAATCGTCATCGATTGGGTGTGTTTCTAGTGGGGTTGGTTCTTGTCCCTGCACTATTTAACAGTTTTATCAATGACCTGGAAGAAAACATAAAATCATCGCTGATAAAGTTTGCAGATGATATAATGTTGGGAATGTGGTAACTAATGAATAGGTCAGGTCAGTGATACAGAGAGATCTGGTTTAGGTTTGCAAATTGGGAGCAAGGAAACAGTATGCGTTTTAATATGGCCATGTGTAAAGTCATAGATGTAGGGAAACGAGAAGGAAGGCCATACTTACCGGATTGGGGGATGTATCCTAGGAAGCTGTGACTCTGAAAAAAATGGGGGGGTCATGCTGAATAATCAGCTGAACATGAGCTCCCAGCATGATGCTCTGGCTGAAAGGGCTCCTGCAATCATTTGATGCATAAAGAGAGAATAGTGAGTAGGAGCAGAGAAGTTATTTGACCTCTGTATTTGCCACTGGTGTGACTGCGGCTGGAATCCTGGGTCCAGGTCTGGTGCCCACAATTCAGGAAGGCTGTTGATAACTTGGAAAGGGCTCAAAGAAGAGCCACGAGAGTGATTGACAGATTGGAAAACCTGCCTTACAGTGAGAAACAAACCGGTTACGTTTAGCAGAAAGAAGGTTAAGGGGTGATTTGATCACAGTCTATAGGTACCTATAGGGAAACAGAAATTTGATGTGGAGGGCTCTTCAAAATAGCAGAGAAAGGTCTAACAAGACCCAATGGCTAGAAGTTGGAGCTAGACCAATTCAGACTGGAAATAAGGTACATATTTTTAACAGTGCGGGTAATTAACCATTGGAACAGCTCACCGGGGGTTGTGACGGATTCTCCATCACTGACAATTTTAAAATCAACATTGGATGATTTTCTGAAAGATCTGTTGCAGTTCAAACAGGCATTAATTCAGGGCCTGTGTTAGACAGGAGAGCAGACGAGATGATCACAATGGACCCGTCTGGTTTTGTTCTCTATAATCTATGAACTGCCAGCTCCAGACAAATCAGAAGTGATGCTAATTCTGGATGTTACACCCGACAGTGCATGGGACCTGCTGGAGATAGAATCCCCACCCCCTCGACTGACTCTGAGCTCTGGTAATGGGAGATGTGTCATTATTTTCACTGGTTTTAGCACCCAGAGACTCCAACCGAGATCAAGACCCAGGTGTGCTAGGTGCTGTACAGACACAGAGGTAGGCTCACTCCCGACCCTGAAAAGTCAAAGGCCAGACACAGCAACAGAGTGTAACCAACACATGGGGGAAGGGGGATCATGGAGGTCCTGATAAGAAGGTTATGTGGAGCTCAACAGGCCAGACCTGGCCTCAGTTCAGTCAGATATTTTAGCACATGTGTAGCTATAAACATGTGTAGTCCCTGTGAAATCAAAGGGGCCGCTCGTGCTGAAGTACCATTCGGAATCGGGACCTGGGTAGGCAATGTGGTGGCCAGGAATCATTTGTGTGTGTGTGTGAGAGAGAGAGAGAGTGTGTGTGATATAAGAACATACGAGCGGCCGTATTGGCTCAGACCAAAGGTCCATCCAGCCCAGTATCCTGTGTTCCAACAGTGGCCACTGCCAGGTGCCCCAGGGGGAGCGAACAGAGCAGAGCAATGATTGAGTGATCCATTCCCTGTCGCCCATTCCCAGCGTCTGTCTACGTCTATACGGGTGGGGTATTCGTGTGTGTGCGTGTATGTAACACGTCCGAGTTGTACATGGCCAGGTGTAGATATGGGGGCGGTGAGTGTATGCGTTATATTGGGTCCCCGCAACGTTCATGTCTGAACCCTCTCTCGCCGGTGGCCCCCCAGCCTCGCCCCCCGCCTGGCTGAGTCCTTACTGTGTCCCAGCAGATGGGGGCCGGAGGCGTTAGGTCACAGGGTCTGGGGAGGAGCAGGTGCTGGAGGTGGCCTATTGACAGGGCAGGGACGATAAGAGCGGGTATGCCGGGCAGGGCAGAGCCATGAAGGGCTCTGAGGGGGCAGATGCGAAGCTCCAAAGGTGGGGCAAGAAGAGGTTAGGAGCTCTGCAGAACCCCTATTCCCATGGCATGATGGGCCTGATCCTGAATGGCGCTGAGCACCCACACTGGCTGTGGCTGCTGAGGATCAGACCCGTGGTTCACAAACCACGTCCCCGTGTCTGTTTCCCGTCAAGCTCCATGTTGCTCTTAAGGCTTCTGCCCTTTCTCGTCTCCGTCCTGCTAGCCCCAGAGACCCTCCCTCCGTCATCAGGCCTCATCGCACTGGCACCAGAGGGACAGTCGCTGGCGAAACAATGAGGCCCGTGCGTGTGTGTGCGTCTGTGTGGGCGTGTGCGCATGTGTGTGTGCGCACGCATGCGTGCACGTGTGTGTGAGTGCGTGCATGTGTGTGCACATGCGGGTGTGAGTGTGCACGGGTGTGCATGGGTGGGTGTGGGTGTGAGTGCATGCTGGGGTGTGCGCGTGGTGAATGCACATGTGTGTGTGTGCACGCATGCATGCACATGTGTGTGTGCATGTGTGTGTGAGTGTGCACGTGTGTGCACGTGCGGGTGTGAGTGTGCACGGGTGTGCACGGGTGGGTGTGTGTGAGAGAGTGTGTGCATGTGTGTGCACGTGCAGGTGTGAGTGTGCACGTGCGGGGGGTGTGTGTGAGTGCGTGCATGTGTGTGCACGTGCAGGTGTGAGTGTGCACGGGTGTGCACGGGTGGGTGTGGGTGTGAGTGC